CTGAGAGAGACCGAACGAGGCTTAGACCGTCACACGACGCCAGCTCACCTCTCGAGTCGAGATCCTCGTCTGAGCCGACCCGACTCGCAGTTTCCTCTCGAGCCTTTCCCCCTCGAGACTCCTCGGACCGCCTCATGACATGCTCTCGACGAGGTCCTGGGCGACCGAGAGCAAGAACTGCAGATTCCTGGTCGACTCGCTCGCACACTCTCTGCGCCGCTCCCGGACCTCGTCCCGCCGAGTCGGCCTCGAACCTCGCTCTCTCGAGGGGTCAGGCCCCGAGCCGTCGTACGAGCACTCGAGACGTCGTCTGAGAGAGACCGGGCGAGGCTTGGACCGTCACGCGACGCCGCTCACCTCTCGAGTCGAGATCCTCGTCTGAGCCGACCCGACTCGCAGTTTCCTCTCGAGCTGTTGCCCCTCGAGACTCCTCGGATCGCCTCACGAGATGCTCTCGACGAGGTCCTGGGCGAGCGAGAGCAAGAACTGCAGTTCCTAGTCGACCCGCTCGCACCCTGGCGTCGCTGCTCTCGGACCTCGTCCCGCCGAGTCGGCCTCGAACCTCGCTTTCTCGAGGGGTCACGCCTCGAGCCGTCGTACGAGCTGTCGAGACGTCGTGTGAGAGAGACCGGGCAAGGCTCGGACCGTCACGCGACGCCAGCTCACCTCTCGAGTCGAGATCCTCGTCTGAGCCGACCCGACTCGCAGTTTCCTCTCGAGCTGTTGCCCCTCGAGACTCCTCGGATCGCCCTCTGTGATGCTCTCGACGAGGTCCTGCGCGAGCGAGAGCGAGGACTGCAGTTTACAGTCGACTCGCTCAGACACTCTTGCACACGCTCCCGGACCTCGTCGAGACGAGACGACCTCGAACCTCGCTTTCTCGATGGGTCACGCCTCGAGCCGTCGTACGAGCTGTCGTGTCGTCGTCTGAGAGAGACCGGGTGAGGCTCGGACCGTCACACGACGCCAGCTCACCTCTCGAGTCGAGATCCTCGTCTGAGCCGACCCGACTCGCAGTTTCCTCTCGAGCTGTTGCCCCTCGAGACTCCTCGGATCGCCTCACGAGATGCTCTCGACGAGGTCCTGGGCGAGCGAGAGCAAGAACTGCAGTTCCTAGTCGACCCGCTCGCACCCTGGCGTCGCTGCTCTTGGACCTCGTCCCGCCGAGTCGGCCTCGAACCTCGCTTTCTCGAGGGGTCACGCCTCGAGCCGTCGTACGAGCTGTCGAGACGTCGCGTGAGAGAGACCGGGCAAGGCTCGGACCGTCACGCGACGCCGCTCACCTCTCGAGTCGAGATCCTCGTCTGAGCCGACCCGACTCGCAGTTTCCTCTCGAGCTGTTGCCCCTCGAGACTCCTCGGATCGCCCTCTGTGATGCTCTCGACGAGGTCCTGCGGGAGCGAGAGCGAGAACTGCAGTTCCTAGTCGACTCGCTCGCACTCTTCTCGTCGCTGCTCCCGGACCTGGTCCCGCCGAGTCGGCCTCGAGCCTTGCTTTCTCGAGGGCTCACGCCTCGAGCTGTCGTGAGAGCACTCGAGACGTCGTCTGCGAGAGACCAGGGGAGGCTCGGATCGTCACACGACGCCGCTCACCTCTCGAGTCGAGATCCTCGTCCGGACCGACCCGACTCGCAGTTTCCTCTCGAGCTGTTGCCCCTCGAGTCTCCTTGGATCGCCTCACGAGGTGCTCTCGACGAGGTCCTGGGCGAGTGAGAGCCCGAACTGCAGTTTCCAGTCGCCTCGCTTTCGCACTTCTCGTCGCTGCTCCCGGACCTCGTCCCGCCGAGTCGACCTCGAACCTCGCTTTCTCGAGCGGTCACGCCTCGAGCCGTCGTACGAACACTCGAGACGTCGTCTGAGAGAGACTGGGCGAGGCTCGGACCGTCACACGACGCCAGCTCACCTCACGAGTCGAGATCCTCGTCTGAGCCGAGGCGACTCGCAGTTTCCTCTCGAGCTGTTACTCCTCGAGACTCCTCGGATCGCCTCACGAGGTGCTCTCGACCAAGTCCTGGGCGAGTGAGAGCCAGAACTGCACTTTCCAGTCGACTCGCTCGCACACTCTCGTCGCTGCTCCCGGACCTCATCGCGGGCTGTTGCCCCTGGAGACTCCTCGTATCGAGGCGGCGCGTAGGACAGACCGAGCGCGTATAGCTGAGAGCGTGAGCAGATAGGGCCGTATCGGTGCGCGACGAAGCGGCGGCTTGAGAGCAAGTCGAGGACAGGTCGAGGAGCGCGCGGCAGGAGCGGTGCCTCGCGGCCCATGGTCGTCGCAGCAGAATGAGGTGAGGGTGAAGTCATCGGCCAAGGCGCTCGACAGGGTCAAGCGCGCCGGCAGCTGCGCGAGCTTGGGCCAGCGGAGCCGAGGAGCCGAGAGCGAGTCCAGGAACGCCGATTCGGGGAGGCGAGGCTCGCCGGCAGGGCAGAGACGGGCGCATGTCGAGCGAGGCGAGGACAGCTCGGGTCTCGAGGAAGGCGGACGAGGGGAAAGGGCGAGTTCTGAGGAGAAAGGGAGGTGCGAGCCGGGTCGAGGAACGGGAGCCGGCCTGGCGTGACTCCTGAGGATGACGGCTTGTGCAAAGTCGAACAACGGGAGCCGAGGAGGTAGGTCGGGCGGTCGACATCGGTGTGTCGGCAAGTCGGCCTTTGCACCGGACAAGCGACAAGACGGGTCGAGTTCTGGATCTGGAATGGCCACGCCCTCGCCCGGCCGGCGACGACGGCGGACCGAGTACGACGCTCGAGGCGAGACGACCCTGCAGGACGAGCAGTCGAGGCGAGGTTAGGCAAACTCGCTCGAGCGACGCTGTGAGAGGAGGGGAAGGGAGGAGTCGGACGTACAGAGTGCAACTGCTCTCGCTCGCTTGCTGCGCCCGTCGAGAGAACGCGACGTGACCTAGCGACCGGCGGATGTCGAACGAGGACAAAGTCAACGAGGAGAGAGCGAGGGCGAGGGCTCGAGCCACGAGGAGGACGGCGGGACGAGGCAGGAGCTGTATGACCGACCCGAGGCGTGCGAGGTACGGGCATCGGGCCCAGTAGCCGAGGTCGAGGTCGAGTGAGGTGGGCAGAGGCGAAACGACACGAGGTGACGGAGAGTCGGCGTGGATGGCGCAGACAGCGGGTCGAGCTCCACGTGCGACGCCGAGATCAGGGAGCGCGACGTGGCCGGACGTAGGTGACGAACAAGGCTTCGGGTACCTGCGCAGTTACAGGGTCGAGGAGAGGTCAGGTCGGGAGGGAAGGGCGAGAGGGGAAGAAGAGACAGGGCCGGGACGCACGAGGAGCGTCGAGTAGATGTACTCGCTGCGTTGAGCGATGCAGGGCCGTACAGGTCGCTCCTTGTGCGACGATTGGGACAGATGCGTCCGACGAGAAAGTCGGGAGGACGTCGAGATGCGAGTCGAGGTCGAGGAGGACAAAGTCGAGTCGAGGAAGGGTGAGGCCGACGGGCGCGAACCGAGGTCGAGGTTGCTCACCTTACGCGACGCGTCGAGTCGTAGTCAAGCAGTCGAGGCGAGGCGTTTGGCGAGGTTTGTCGGCTCGTCGGCAGCAGGATGGGCGAGCCGGCGGGTCGAGGTGCGGGTACGAGGAAGCCAACTTGGCGAACCCGGCGAGCAGCGACAGCGTGCGAGGAGGGAGATGAGCCGGAACGAGCCTGCAGGACGAGCGACAATGAGTCAGGCGAGCTCGCTCGGTGGATGGGGGACGAGGAAGGAGCAGGACGCACGAGTCGAGGTCATTCCGGGCCGCCGCCCGCCCCTCGGTACCCGCCACCTCTCCTGCACGCACCTCGGTCCGCTGCCACACTCTCTCGGCAAAGAGCGGGCCCTCGGGCCACGGCAGCCCGTCCCTGCCCGTGGCTGCGACAGGGACCGGCCGACGGAGCTCGCCGAGGGGGAGCAGTCGGTCGGCGCCAGAGCGCACGGCCAGTCGCACCCCTCGCTCGAGCCCGGCGGTGCGGTATGACGAGCACACGAGCAGATGTGCGACTGTAGATGGCCGCGAGCGGCATGCTCGGGAGCAGAGGCCGGCGTACGCGAGGTGCTCAGGCCGGGTCGAGGTCGAGGCCGCGTGATAGAGAGCGAGGACGTGTGCCATGTCGACAGGAGGAGGGTCGAGGAAGGGGCTGCTGCGGCGCGTCGGCGGGAGAGCTGGGAGACGAAGCAGGAGGTCAGTCTCGGCTCGACCATGGCGGACCGTCATGCACGAGGGGGCTCGCGCCGCTGCCGCATCTGCATGCTCCTTCTGCAGGACCCGCATGTCGTCCGAGTGCCCGCTGTCCCGCCGCCTTTGCCAGACTCAGTCGCGCTCCCTCGAGCCGTCGTCGACCCGCGGTCGGTAGAAGTGTACCGCTGGCCCCGGCGGACCTCCAGTCCGCCCTGTATGCAGTTCAAGCCCATGTACGGCGCACAGCCAGGCCCGCACGACCGCCAGACGAGCGGGAGGAGTGGTCGAGTCGGGTGGGAGGACGGCGAGCGAGAGCTCGGGTCGAGGACCGCGAGCGCTCGCGAGTGGGAGAGAGGGGGGCGTACAAGGTTCAGGTGCACGGCCAGCACACTCTAGCTCGCGTCCATGGCGGCTAATCGTCGCGCGGTCGAGGCGAGATGCCGAGCTGGCGATGAAATGAGGGTCGATGGGCGGGCTCGTGAGGGCGAGGCGGGCTGGTTCGGTGCTTGTACTGGTCCAAGCGAGTGCGGCAGTGCACAGTTGCGCGGCTGGGCGGCTCGTCGTGGTGCTGCCCGCTCGCCGTCTTCCAGCTCTCCCTCTCGCTCCTCCCTCTAGAGCCTCGTTCACGTCTCTCCCCGCACGGCCTGCTCGAGCCTGGGACCCCGCACGCTCAAGCGCTCGCGCCTCTCGTCTCCTGAGCGCACGAGCGTCCGCACGCCCCTCGCCGCCGGCTCTTCTCCGCCCACGCTCGGTGGCAGAGAGTCTGCCCTCGCTCTCTGCTCTCGCTTGTGCTCCCGCTCGCTCTTGCTGCACTCGCCGTCCACCCGAGCGATGTCTGCTGAGCCCCACAAGTACTGGCCGTCGGTCGGCACGACCTACCCGCACTGGGCCGACCTCCTCCTCGCGACCCAACTCGCCGCAGCTCGAGCCGGCTTCAACTACCTCGGCCGGTACTTCGACCAGCGCAGGCCAGCCCAGCTGTCGATCGTCTGCATGGTGCACTCGACGCAAATGCGCGCGAGCGGCTGCACGCACTCGCTCGTCGAGGCGGTCGCTGTCGACCCCAAGGACGTCACGGGCGGGTGGAGGGTCAGCAAGATCAACGCGCAGAACCTCGATGCCCAACGGCACCCGATGCATACGGGAGGCATCGGTCTGTCGTACTGGCTCAAGGTGCGCCCGCTCGCTCCACAAATTCCCTCGCTCGACTCGCGCTGACACCTACTTTGACAGACGTCCACCGACACCCTCATCCTCCGCCCTGGCGACATAGTCCGAGGTTTGCGAGCCATGCATACCGTCGAGGGCGCCTTGCGTGCTCAGGGCCGGCGGGACGGACGCTTCCTTGCCTGTCGAACCGTGCCGCCCTCGCGCGGCAGCGTCCACCCGGCGTACCTGATCACGTGCGTCCTCGACGCCACGTGCTGCGAGTTCCTCGTGCGCTTCGAGGGCCTCGGGCCCGACGCAGGCGGCGAGGACGGCTGGCGCTGCCTCGAGATCCGCACCAAGCACTCGTGCACGTCCACGGCGAGCTCGCCCAGCAAGAAGCTTGAGTGGAGGCTCGATTTTTGGGTGCGTCCGCTCTCTCCCCTGAGCTGGTAACCCGTTGCTGACATATTTTCCTTGCAGCCGCAGGTTACGCTCGTCGAGGGTCGGATTGGCAAGCCCTTCTCGCGTTCGGCCAGCACGAAGAGCGGCCAGGTGGGCCCGCTTTACTTTCGCCCCGCGCCCCAGTACCTGCCTGACTTCTCCAGAGCTTCTGCAGCACGAAGTACTCAGCGACCGCTTCATCGGGCCGTTCCCGGTTCAGGTCAAGAGCGCGAGCGCCCGTCTCCTCCCCCTCGCCTCTCCTCGTCTCGCACGCACTAACTCCTGCTTGTCCTCGGCCACAGACGCTCGTCCTCTCCTCTCTCGCGCCGTACCGCTCCTCGTCGCCTCCCCTCATGCCTGCTCTCGCCGACGCCGACTCGTCCGACTCGCCCACCGCCCTCGCCTCCCTCCTACCCGACCGCCAAGCGCTCGCCTCGGCCGAGAAGGACCTCGCCGACGCGTCGACCGCCGTCGACAAGATTAAGAGCGACCTCGCCGCCGCCGAGAAGCGCGCCGCCGAGAAGCGCGGGCGCGTCGAGAAGAAGCGCGCCAAGCTCCAGCGCCGGCTCGAGCGCGAGCGCAGCAAGAGGGTGCGTCCTCTCTCTCTCTCTCTCGTCCTCTCCCCTCCCTGCACTCGTCTACGACGTCGACTGACCCTCGTCGAGCGCGTCGCAGAAGTCGGTCAAGGAGGGACCGAGGTCCAAGGACAAGAAGCGCGACGTCAAGCGGGCCGGCGAGCGCAAGAAGAAGGCCGAGATGCTGGCCCTGAGCGACTAGACGCTGTAGGAGAGCACGGACTGCGATGCCGACGAGTCTTTGTCCCATTTGACGTGCGGAGAGAGAGGGAGGAGCCTTACACGAGGTCCGTCACCACTCTTCTGCGCACTTTCGTCGACGCTCTCAGACCTCGTTGCGGCGAAGCGACCCAGACTGTCTTCCTTCTCCGTCGCTCTCGCAGCAGGCGCTCGTGAGAGGAGTCGAGAAGAGGTCTGAGCACGTGTGAGGGACGCTCGCACTGCATCGAGACGAACCTGCTCTCCTCGAGCCGCGATTCTGGTTCAGACCGACCTGACTCGCGCTCGTTCGAGCGACTCTCTGCTGTCGAGACTATACAGATCGTCTCGCTTGACGCTATCGACGAGGTCCGTCAAGCTGCGAGAACGGCAGGACGAGGTCCGTCACCACTTTTCCGCGCTCTCTCGTCGACGCTCCCGGACCTCATCGCAGCGAAGCGACCCAGACTGTCACTTTCTCGAGGCGCCGGTCTGCAGGCCGTCGTGAGAGGTGTCGAGAAGAGGTCTGAGCGCCCGTGGGAGAGGCTCGCACTGCTTCGAGACGAAGCTGCTCTCCTCGAGTCGAGATCCTGGTTCGGACCGACCCGACTCGCACTTCTTCGAACGACTCTCTGCTGCCGAGACTCGACAGATCATCTCGTGAGATGCTATCGACGAGGTCTGGCGAGGTGCGAGAACGAGAATTGCAGACACGCGCCGACCTGCGCCCACTTCCTCTTGCACGCCGCCGACCCTGACCCGGCTTTCGCACACCTCGCGCTCGCCCCGCTCTCGATAGGCCCGCACAGAATCGCTTGAACTGCAAAAACCGCTACGTTGTCTTTCCCTCTACCTTGTCCCGCCGATAGCGAAGCAGAACGTGAACGAGGAAGTCGAAGTTGTCCGCGCGCAGCGTCGCAAGGAGCTTGCCGAACCGCGCGATCGTCGAGTTGAGCTGCTCTGCGGCCTGAAGGGGCTTGACGTCAGACTCGCTTGACAAGGCGACACGGACCTGGAGAGAGAGCACGCACAGAGGTGTTGAACGCCCGCTCGAACGTCCGGGAAGAGCCGCGTCGAAACTTGCCGCCACGAGTAGCTGGCCGAAACGGCACGACGAGGTCCTGCGCCTGACCATCGAGCGGCGTCGGGGTGCAGAACTCGTCGCAGAAGGTGTCGGCGGCCGGGTGAATGCGCTTGTGAAAGGCGGTGACGACGAGGCGGGTCGAGGACAGGAAGGGAGGGAGGGATGGGGTGGTCGACAGGACGTGACGGAGGACATGGCAGGCACGGTCGTAGGCGATGTAGGTAGGGAAGGATGTCCCCTGCTGATCGTGGACGGAGGATAGGAAACGCGACACCTCGGACGCGGACTCGCCGTCGAAGAACTTGGTCCAGGCGAGAGGAGCGCCGCAGGCGGCGACGAGGATCTGGAGGTTGCTCGTGCGACGTAGGTTCCACGTGTGCGTCTCTGCGAGCAGCAGAGGGTCAGAGTCGAGTCGCTGCGAGGGTGAGAGGAATGAGGCCCGACGCACCTCGCGCTTTCCGGGGCGGCTTCTTCTCCTCGATCTCGTCGACGTCGAGCTCCTCCGCGTCGTCGTCGCTGTACAACTGCATCTCCTCCTCGACGTCTGGTGGCTCGTCGATCTCGGGCAGGGCGTACTTGGGCGCCGCTGCGGGTCGTCGACCCCGCCAACCTCGCTCCTCGAGTCGCCGGCGCCGTTCGAGGCACGATCGCCACGATTCTTGATGCTCCAGGTCATCGCACGCCTCGCTCGGGACTTTTGCGTCTTCGACGTCGTCCGAGCGCTCACGCCCGCAGCCGTCGATGCCGCAGATGAGGTGCAGGTCGACGTGCTGCCGGCAGAATCGGCGACTGCGGCGATGGGCGTCGGGCGGATTGGGGCAGCCGAGCGCAGCGCAGAGCTGTAGAAGGATTGATGATCAGGCGAGGTAGGCAAGGGAGGCGAGGAAAGAGGGACCGGACGCACCGGATGGCCGATCTCGATCCCGTCGCATACGGCGAACTGGACGTCGGGCTTCTTGACAAACTTGATGTCCTGCTTCATCGGCTGCAGCAGAGAAGTCAAGAGGGCCCGAGAGAAAGAGAGGAGTGAAAGGGCTTGACGCACCTCTGCGTCTCGTCGCGCATGCGTCCCTGCCCAGCGCACACCCTGCGCTCGCTCGTCCTCAGTCGCTGGGCCGCCTCGCCATCGATGCGGCTTCCTCGCGCACGTCGAGCACGAGTGTGGCGGAAGAACGACGGCGTCGCTGCTCGTCGAGAACAGGTCCGAGTTGGCGAGTTCGACGAGGTGCTCGACGAGCGGGCGAGAGAGCGACGCGAACCGCCGATACGGCGAGTCGGCGGCGGCAAGGATGCAGGCGTAGATGACGAAGGCGCGCCAAACGTGCTTCTGGCGGAGGACGAAAGGGCCGCTCGAGGCCCGGCGAGGCGGCGCGTCCTCCTCGCGTGCGCTGTCGGAACCCTCGTCCTCGCTCGATTCGACGACGAGGTCGTCGTCGAGCACGGGCGTCGACTCGCTGTAGAGGCTCGACCACGCGGCCGCCACCGCGCCGGCGCTCAGGGCGTGATTGAGCAGCTGCGCGTGGTGATTCCTCGCGCAGGCGCCCGAGAGCCACACGCGGTCGCCGACCTTGATGGCCTCGGGCTGCGCCTCCCACAGCCAGACCTTCTGCCCTTTGTGGGTGAGCTCGACGTGGTCCGGCGAGTGGGAGGCACGGCAGCTCGAGTTGCTGCAGACGTGCGTCGCGACGAGGACGAGCGTGGCGGGCGAGGCGGCATCGACGAGGTAGACGGGGATGGAGGGTCGTCGAGGGAGGTTGAGCGACGAGCCGCACTGGATGCAGCAGGACCGGCTAGTCGAGAGGACGCGGCGCGAGTTCGAGGAGGTCGGTGCGGCGAGAGGAGGAGGGTACAGGTTGAGCTCGCGCGCGAGGAGGAGCGTCGCGCGCTGCGGGTCGGCGAGCTTCTTGGGCGATGTCGAGAACAGGTGGTCGCCTATGAAGCTGAGGCTCGCCTCGAAAATGCGCCCGCTCGCCTGCGCTCGGCCGTGCGAGAGCGAGAACAGGGCCGCGTCGCGCCGCACCGACTGCGCGAGGTCGACGACCTCGCCGAACGTGACGCCCGGTATGAGCGCGGCGATGCGCGAGGCGGTGGCGACAAGGGGAGAGTCGGCGGCGCCGACGAGGCGCAGGGAGAGGGACAGGAGGGCGAGGACGTGCGGGAGGTGACGTGTCGCTCGCTTGCGAGGCGACGGCGAGGACGGGGCGGACGTCTCTTCAGGCGTCGGCGAGGAGGGCGGCCGACGAGCTGGGCGTGTCGGCGTGTCGACGAGATCGGAAGGAGATGGCGAAGAAGGGGTGGAAGAACGACGTCGACGCCGTTTTTGCGGTGACGCGGGTTCTGCTGCATCGCTCGGCAAGGAGTTAGTACGACCGTGCGAGGCGAAGAAATACGTCTCGAGAGACGCACCTGGACGACTCGAGTCGAGCTTGAACGCCTCCAGATCCCGCTCGTTCGTCTCCTGCCTCGGCGTCACCGGCGGCGCGCCCTCAGGCCCACTCCTCGCGCGCGCCTTCGAGCCCTTCGAGGCCAGCGCAGCCGACTTGTGCTCGTCGACGATGCGCAGTAGGTCGCCGAGCGTGAGCGTGCGGCGGACGGTGGAGGAGGAAGGAGGGTTGGCGGTCGTGGCGGCGGAAGAGGGCGACTCGTCGTCGGCGGCGTCCGAGTCGGACACGCTCGCGGCACGCGCCGACTTCTGCGGCACTCGAGAGACGAGTCAGTGAGGTCGCAGGCCGCAGAGAGAGAGTTAAGCGAGGCGCACCTCGAGAGAGCGAGAGGGACCTTTCACGCGCTTCTGCATGTGCGCGATCTCGGCCTCGACCTGCTCGACGAACCGTTGGAGCGCGTTCTTGACCGGCGCTGGAGGACGGGCGCCATCGTCGCTGTCGCTGTCGGGCGGCTCGGTCGAGGAGGGAGGAGGTGGGGCCGGCTCGGCGGCGGCCGATGGTCGCTCGAGCGAGTAGCCGAGGGCGCGCAGGCGTGACGAGAGGACGCTGCAGGTGCGCACAGGGCCGCTCAGTCAGCTCTGCACGGTGGGGGAGGTCCAGAGAGAGCACACACTCGTCTGAGCAAACTCTGCTCGACCGACTCGCCCTCGCGCTCGACATGGTTGCGACGGTCGGGAGGCGAGGTGGACAACTCGAACACGCTCAGAGAGCACTTGGTGATGACGGGTGAGGTCGCTGCGTGCTCAGGAAGGCTTTTGCCGAACCCGAGTTAAGCATGAGAGGGCAAGGTGAGATCCGCCGTGGGTGACCAACCGAGCAAGCTCTCGAGCAAGCGAGCAATAGCGATTTGCTAGTCGGCGGGCGGACGGATGGAGCACGCGCTTTCTAGCTCTTGCCTCGCTGCGCTCCTTGCGGGGTCGTATTACATGGCTACGCACGAGTCTGTGCGAGCCGGATCGAGCCTCGAGAAGAGGTGTGGAGCGGCCGCCAACTCTTGGAGTTGAGCGTGTCAGGCTCGAGCGTGCGAGGAGGCTCTCGGCCAAAGCCCGAGTCTGTACAGCGCTTTCCTTCTGGCCACGCAGAAGCTGCTCGAGAGCGATCTCACGGGTCTACGCTTGCTCTCGAGCCATCGGGAGCGAGGGGACGAGCGAGTTGAGTTTGAGAAGGTCGTCGAGTCGATTTCTCGGAAGGCTCCTCCCTCTCTCTCCTCACGTCAAATGGGACAAAGACTCGTCGGGATCGCAGTACGTGCTCTTCTACAGCGTCTAGTCGCTCAGGGCCAGCATCTCGGCCTTCTTCTTGCGCTCGCCGGCCCGCTTGACGTCGCGCTTCTTGTCCTTGGACCTCGGCCCCTCCTTGACCGACTTCTGCAAAGCGCTCGACGAGGGTCAGTCAACGTCATAGACGAGTACAGGGAGGGGAGGGGAGGAGAGAGAGAGAGGAGGACGCACCCTCTTGCTGCGCTCGCGCTCGAGCCGGCGCTGGAGCTTGGCGCGCTTCTTCTCGACGCGCCCCCGCTGCACGTCGGCGCGATTCTCGGCGGCGGCGAGGTCGCTCTTGAGCTTGTCGACGGCGGTCGACGCGTCGGCGAGCTCCTTCTCGGCCGAGGCGAGCGCCTGGCGGTTGGGGAGGAGGGAGGCGAGGGCGGTGGGCGAGTCGGACGAGTCGGCGTCGGCGAGAGCGGGCATGAGCGGCGGCGACGAGGAGCGGTACGTTGGGAGAGTGGGGAGGGAGAGCATCTGTGGCCGAGAACGAGCAGGAGTTAGTGCGTGCGAAACGAAGAGAGGCGAGGGGAAGGAGACCGGCGCTCGCGCTCTTGACCTGCACCGGGAACGGCCCGATGAAGCGGTCGCTGACCACCTCGTGCTGCATGCATCGCGGGCAGATCAGGTACAATGGCGTTGGACGATGCGACCGAGGAATGCACCTCCTCGGTGCTGGGGGCGCTCTGCCGGACGGGCTTGCCGAGGGCGCCGTCGACGAGCGTCACCTGCGGCTGCAAGTCGGATGTCAGTGGAGGTAGTGAAGAAAGAGGAGTAGAGGGACTGGGACGCACCCAGAAGTTGAGGCGCCACTGGAGCTTCTCGCTGAGCGGCTTTGCCGTCGAGACGCACGAGTGCTCGCTGCGGACCTCAACGCAGCGCCACGTCCGCTCGCCGTCGAGGTCTGTGCTGAGCCCCTCGAAGCGGACGAAGAAGGTGCAGCGAGAGGTGTCGAGCACGCAGTTGATCTGGTAGCCTTCACAGCTCGCCGACTTGGCGGTTGGGGCAACGCGGCCCGCGAGAAAGCGGCCTTGGCGCCGGTTCTGCGCCCGCAGGGCGCCCTCGATCGTGTGCAGGTCGCGGAAGCCGGTAACCGTGTCGCCGGGCTTCAGGACGAGGTCGGCAGGTCGCTTCTGCGGAGGCACATGATCTCAGCTTGCACGGATTCAGAGGCGAGAGAGGCCGACGGACCTTGAGCCAGGAAGATAGGCCACGGCTGAGCGTGTGGCCGGGATGGCGCTGTGCGTCGAGGTGCTGCGCGTTGACCTTGCTGACCCTCCACCCGCTCATGGCGTCCTTGGAGTCGACAGCGACCGCCTCGATAAGCGAGTGCGTGCAGCCGCTCGCGCGCATTTGCGTCGAGTGCACCATGCAGACGATCGACAGCTGGGCTGGCCTGCGCTGGTCGAAGTACCGGCCGAGGTAGTTGAAGCCGGCTCGAGCTGCGGCGAGTTGGGTCGCGAGGAGGAGGTCGGCCCAGTGCGGGTAGGTCGTGCCGACCGACGGCCAGTACTTGTGGGGCTCGGCAGACATCGCTCGGGTGGACGGCGAGTGCAGCAAAGGCGAGCGGGAGCACAAGCGAGAGCAGAGAGCGAGGAGCGGAGCTGCCACCGAGCGCGGGCGGAGAAGAGCCGGCAGCGAGGGACGTGCGGACGCCCGTGCGCTCAGGAGACAAGAGGCGCGAGCGCTTGAGCGTGCGGGGTTCCAGGATCGAGCAGGCCGTGCGGGGAGAGCCGCGAGCGAGTGCGGCTCAAGGGAAGCGAGGGAAGCGAGGGACGAGGCGACAGGCACTGGCTGGAGACGGGGGCTGCAGACGGGGGCAGCAGAGCCGGCCCCGTGTAGCTGGGCGTCCCCTCGAGCAACCCCGCCGTCCAGCAGAGCAAGCGAGCCTTGGAGAGTGAGAGGAGGAGGCGAACTGGTGAGAACGAGCGAGCTGGATCCTCCTCACCGTCGCACTACACCGCTCGCCCGGGCTTGGCCGTCCGCCGTCCGAGCATCCAGCCGTGTCCTGCCACCCCGTCGACCCGCGCTCGCGGCCCCTCCCGGCGACGTTGTCACCCTCCGCCTCCTCCCTCACCCTCATCCTCCCCTCGCTCGTCCGCCCTCACCCGCCGCCCGAGGCAGCACCGCGACGCTCCGACGAGCCCCAGCACTACAGCTTCTATCGTCTCGCACCACCCTCGCCCTCTAGCGCGCGGCCTCGACCTCGACCTCGTCTCGGCACCTCGCGCACGCCGGCCTCTGCTCCCGAGCAAGCCGCTCGCGGCCATCTACAGTCGCACATCTGCTCGTGTGCTCGTCATACCGCACCGACGGGCTCGAGCAAGGGATGCGACTGGCCGTGCGCTCTGGCGCCGACCGACTGCTCCCCCTCGACGAGCTCTCGTCGGCCGGTCCCTGTCGCAGCCACGGGCAGGGAAGGGCTGCCGTGGCCCCGAGGGCCCACTCTCTGCGGGGAGAGTGTGGCAGCGGACCGAGGTGCGTGCAGGAGAGGTGGCGGGCAACGAGGGGCGGGCGGCGGCCCGGAATGACCTTGTCTCGTGCGTCCTGCTCCTTCCTCGTCCCCCATCCCTCGAGCGAGCTCGCCTGACTCGTTGTCGCTCGTCCTGCAGGTTCGTTCCGCTTCTATCGCCCTCCTGGCGCGCTGTCGCTGCTCGCCGGGATGAGCAGCTTGGTTTCCTCGCACCCGCATCTCGCCCCGCCGGCTCGCCAGTCATGCCGTCGACGAGCCGACGCCCCTCGACCATCGCTGCTCCTCGATTGCTCGACTACGTTTCGACCCATCGCGTCCGCTTGAGCAGCCTCGACCTCAGTTTGGCCAGTCGGGCTCGCCCTTCCTCCACTCGACTTTGTCCTCGTCAACCTCGGCTCGCCTCTCGACGTCTTTCCGCCTTTCTCGTCGGTCGCACCGGGCCCAACTGCCGCACAAGCGTCGACCTGTACGCCCTGGATCGCTCGATGCAGCGAGTACATCTACTCAACGCTCCTCGTGCGTCCCGGCCCTCCCTCTTCTTCCCCTTCCTCGCCCTTCCCTCCCGACCTGACCTCGCTTCTGTCCCTCAAATGCGCAGGTACCAGACGCCTTGTTCGTCGCCTACGGTCCAGCCTCGGGCGAGCACCTGGCTCTCGTTGGCGCAGCTCGAGCTCAAAGCTCGTGGCGTCCGAGATTCATGCCGACCTTCCGCCACCGCGTGTCTCCTAGCCTCTGCGCCACCTGACTCTACATCCACATCGACTACTGGGCCCGGTACCCGCACCTCGCACGCCCTCGGGCGAGCAAGAGCAGTCGCAGCCTGTACGTCCGACTCCTCCCTTCCCCTTCCTCGCACAGCGTGCGTCGCTCGAGCGAGTTTGCCTGACCTCGCCTCGACGGCTCGTCCTGCAGGGTCGTCTCGCTTCGAGCCGATGAGTCGCACTCGGTCCGCTGTCATCGCTGCAGGGCGAGGCCATGGCCATTCCAGATTCAGACCTCCACCGGTCTCGACGCCTGTCCATTGCGGAGGCCGACTAGCCGGCACACCGCTGTCGACCGCCGGCCCTACCTCCTCGAATCTCGCCGCTCGACCTTCCACAAGCCGCCGTCCTCACGAGTCATGCCGGGCCGACTTCGCCTTTCTCGAGCCGACTTGCTCCTTCCTCTCTCCTCAAACTCGCCCTTTCCCCTCATCCGCCTTCCTCGACACCCAAGCTTTCCTCGCTTCGCTCGACTTGCGCACATCCCCGCCATTGCGCCTCGCCTCGCCTCGGCTCGCCTCCCAAAATCGCCGAATTCTTGGTCCCGCCGCGACTCGAGCTCGTGCAGCTGCCGGCGCGCCCTATTTCCGTTCAGCAGCATCGCCGGCGACGCCTTGCTGCGCGTCACTGCCTTTTGCGCGACGACCATGAGCCGCGAGGAACCGCTCCTGCCGCGCGCTCCTCAATTTGCCCTTGGCTCGCTCTCAAGCCGCCGCGTCGTCGCGCACCGTTGCAGGCCTATCTGCTGCCACTCTCGGCTATACACGCTTGATCTGCCGTGCGGGCCGCCCTGACCCGACGAGCTTCGAGGAAGAAGAGCTTGGACGAAGCTGCGAGTGGTGACGCTCCAGACGAGGATCTCGACTCGAGAGGTGAGCTCGCAGCGTGTGACGGTCCAAGCTTCGCTCGGTCTTTCTCAGACGACGTCTCGACAGCTCGTACAGCGGCTCGAGGCGTGACCGCTGGAGAAAGCGAGGTTCGAGGTCGACTCGGCGGGACGAGGTCCGGGAGCGGTCGACTCGGCGGGACGAGGTCCGGGAGCGTCGACGAAAGTGCGTGGAAGAGTGGTGACGGACCTCGTCCTGCCGTTCTCGCAGCTTGACGGACCTCGTCGATAGCGTCGAGCGAGACGATCTGGTTAGCCTCGACAGCAGAGAGCCGCTCGAACGAGCGCGAGTCGGGTCGGTCTGAACCAGAATCTCGACTCGAGGAGAGCAGGTTCGTCTCGAAGCAGTGCGAGCGTCCCTCACACGTGCTTGGACTTGTTCTCGACGTCTCTCATGATGGCCTGCAGACCGGCGCCTCGAGAAAGTGACAGTCTGGGTCGCTTCGCTGCGACGAGGTCCGGGAGCGTCGACGAAAGTGCGTGGAAGAGTGGTGACGGACCTCGTCCTGCCGTTCTCGCAGCTTGACGGACCTCGTCGATAGCGTCGAGCGAGACGATCTGTATAGTCTCGACAGCAGAGAGCCGCTCGAATGAGCGCGAGTCGGGTCGGTCTGAACCAGAATCTCGACTCGAGGAGAGCAGGTTCGCCTCGTGGCAGTGCGAGCGTCCCTCACGGCCTCACACGTGCTTGAACCTCTTCTCGACTTCTCTCACGACGGCCTGCGGCGAGAGCGACTGGCGATTTCAGCCGCGGCCATGCCCCCGTTCTGCCGCTCCGCCCGTCGGCCGCGCGCTAAGTTATTAGCTCGCTCGTCCCTTCGAACCCACCTCGCTCGGAACTTCCGCCTGCCCTGCAGGGCACGCTAAGTTAGCCGCCAAATTGCGCGCTTCGGCCCACTGTCACACCTTTCCCCGCTCAGGAACCCGCAAGGTCCCGACTCGAGCTGCCGCTCTCGCTCGGACCTCTTCAGGAGGAGGCGACGTGAGCGCCGGCTCCACGAGGCCTGACTACTCGCAGGAGCTCGGACACATGCTGCAGCCGGCAGATAGCTCGTACTCAGAGTTCCACAGGCGAGAAAGGGGCGCGAGTAAGCTGCGAAGCTGCTGGCGCGTCGAAAAGCTGCCGAAACCTTAACCGAGGCGATCTCGAGCGCGCTCCCCACCCGGTGCTCTCGAGGCCTGGGCAAGTCGGCATCGCGATACCCGACAGGTTGAGTGAAGCACCTGCCGAGCAAAGCGAGCGAGAACAGATTGAACCACTGCAGCCGCCTCGTCCTCCCGCCGTTCCCAATCCTCACCGACTCGTGCCGCCCAGACCACCCTCCATTCCAGCATCTCACGACATGCCGCCGTACGAGGTCCCGCCCGACCTTCTCGCGAGGATAGGTGAGCGCGGGCGCGCCGCGCTGGCGGAGTTCGAGGCGCAGCAGGCGGCCCGGCAGCTCGCCAAGCACGCCCCCTCCCCTGTATCAACGCCCTCGACCTCGCCCACGCCCTCCAGCACCACCGCTGTCGACATGCAGCAACGCCGTGTCGAGAGGCGACTCGTCAAGCCGTCCGCCGCCGACGAGGACGACTACTCGCCAGCCGGGCCATCTTCGTCGAGCAGCACTCGGCACGAGGCGCCGGTCACCCGCAGCCGTGCGTGCGTCAAGCAGCACGTCGAGGCGAGCGAGTCCGACGTCGAGACGAGCGAGGACGAGCCGCCGAAGGCCGAGGACGAGTCGGACGACGACGACGAGGTCACGCCGCACGAGCAGCGCCGGAGCGCAACGCCCTCGCCGCCGATGCGCATGCCCCGCGACATCCGCGAGGTGGTGTCGCGTACGTTGGCGCGTGAGAGGCTCGAGAGCCCCGGTGCGACGGTGTCGGAAATGCACGTCCTCGAGTCCAAGTGCGTCCCTCCCTCCTCAGCTCGACCGTATCGTTCCCGATTGACCCCGAGCCGTCACCTGCAGGTGCTGCATGCCCGCCACGCCCAACGTCAAGCCGCGGTCCGACCTGAGCAAGACCAAGCTTACGTTCGAGTTCGTCCGGGTCGAGTGGCACCACCTCGTCGGCCAGTACGCGACGTTCGGCGCCCTCGCCAAGGCCATCAACAGGTCGCACAAGGTCACGTCGAGCCCGGCGCCGACGCTCGCGAGCTTCGCCGCCATGGCCGACGCCGAAAGGGCGCCGGTCTCGAAGGCCAACTCGGACCTCGACGCGAGCCACCTTTGCGGCCAGCCGACCTGCTTCCAGCGCGGGCACGTCGTCCTCGAGTCCAACGCGGTCAACACGAGCCGCGACCGCTGCCACAGCGGCCAGTCCGCCAGCCGCACCTGCCCGCACGAGCCGCCTTGCCTCGAGCTCGTCCGGCCCAAGTCGTCGGCCCGCGCGCCGCAAGCGCAGCGCATCAGCCCGGGCCCGAGCAAGAGCAAGAGCAAGACGTCGGGCGCCAAGAAGCTCGCATTCAGCCTCGCGAGCACGAGTCGCTCGAGCGGGAGCTCGTCGGCGACCCGGGTCGAGGTCGGCTCGTCGTCATCGCGGGCCGAGGCGGGAGCCGCCGGGTCGCAGACGCGCGCGATCGAGGTCGTCCAGCCGGTGGTCGTCCAGCAGGCCGCCGCCGCCGCCGCCGTCGCGCCCGTCGAGGACGAGAGCGAGGACGAGAGCGAGGACGAGAGCGAGGACGAGTACGAGTACATTGTCATCGACGACTCGCAGCCGGCCGAGGCTGCGGCGACGTTCTCGCCGGTCGCCGCATCGCCGTCGGCCGCCGAGCAGGTCGTTGTCGCCGTCATCGCGCCGGCCGAGGTCACGCCGGCCGAGGTCGAGGTCGAGGTCGAGGCCGACGAGGAGGTCATCGACGTCTCGTCGCCCATGTCGGACGCCGGCGACGCGCCGCCCTCGCCGATCGTCGAGCAGGTCGCCGATGCGCCCAAGTCGACGACGTGGACCGTGGCGTACCTCGCCGCGCTCCGCCCCAAGACGGCCCGCCGGCTGGTCGCCTTCGAGAAGGCGCGCGAGAGGCGCAAGGCCGAGCGCGAGCAGCGGATCCAGGCCGAGCGCGAGCGCAAGCAGCGGATCAAGGCCGAGCGCGAGCAATGGCGCAAGAAGAAGGTCGACGCGACGTCGACGACCCGCCGCGCAACGCCCCTCCTCGTGGGCCCACTCGCAGGCCGCGCCCGCAGCGCGCGCACGCCGACGCGCAAGGCGACGCGCGCACCGGGCTCGAGGTCGCGCTCGACGGTCGTGCTGCCAATGAGCCGGCGGATCGAGCCCGAGCACAGCGTCGACGAGCTCGAGTGCGGCGACGACGGCGAGGTGTGGGCCGGGATCGTCGAGGAGCGCGTCATCGCCCCGCTGCCGGTGCGCGACCCTAACCGCCCGCGCCAGCTCATGCAGGCGTGCGCGATCGTGGCGACCAGCATCGGCTTTGTCGGGTTCGTGGCGAACGCTGCCGCCGTGTTGCTCGGGTGAGGGGGGCGAGGTCGGCGGCAGAGGAAGGGGGAAGGGGAACGGCCAAGGCGACGGCGCAAAAAGTAACGACTCGAGGTGACGAACATGTAATCGACGGCGTTGTACCCGACTCGAGCTGGCTGGCGAGCGAGGAGGAGCGAGGAAAGTCGAGAGGACGAGGACGAGGAGGTGGTCGTCGTCGACATCTCGAGTCGAGCTGCGAGCTGCGGGGCGAGCAGAGCTGGGAGCTGTGCGGGCAGTGTCTGCTGGACGTGCTCGCTGGAAAGAGGGAGGACGCGGGCGCACCTGGCTGTTCTCGAGGGCGACGAAGGGGGCGGCACGAGCTGGCGGCAGCGCGTGCACGCTCGGGCGCAACTCGAATAGCTGCTTTGCGTTGTGCTCAGCAGTGAGCAAGGCGCACGGCACTCCAGCAGTGGAGGAGCGGGTGTAGCGGGAGCAGAGGCACCTCTCGGTCGTCGTCGAATCGTCGTCACAACTCGGCTCGTCGGTCCACCTCGCGAATCTCCCAGGCGCCCAGCTGCGTCTCGCTACAGTCGACGGTCGATGCAGCTCTTTTCCAGCAGGCTACCCACCTCTCGACGAGCGGCTAGCACTGTCGCGTCTCCCCTCCCCGCCCTCGCCCACCTCGCCCACCTCGCCCACCTCGCCCACGACTCGACGCGCCCCGCCCTTGCTGTGCGAGGCGCACTCGGCACAAGCCCCTAGCACAACGCCGCCTCATGCCGCCTCATCGGCCAGCTCGCGGCGGCCCTGGTCGAGTCGCCCTCCCCCTCGCTCGACGGCGCAGCGCACGACCGGCGGCGACCTCGCTCGAGGCGACGCGGCGGAACGGGCGAGCGGGAGAGCGAGGCGATGGGCCGGAGCGCAGGGTGCGGCGAGGCTGTGCGGGACTCGGTGCGTCCTCCTCTCTCCTTCTCGACCCTCCTCCACCTCCTTCTCGAGCGCGACCTGACGCTCTCGTCCTCGCAGGTGCATGAGACTCTTCTTTGTCCTCGTCGCGACAAACCCTCGACCGCTGCTCGAGCTAGAGCGACGACGAGCGCGGCCGCACGGACTGCGAAAGCGCCTCGAGCTGGCGAGCGCAGCTCCGACATCTCGCTCTTGCTCGTCGGCAGACGGGGCCGCTCAGGAGGAACCTTGCTCTCGGCGCAGGTTGGGCTCGAAAGCAGCCGAGGGCGGCAGGGTTGTGCGGGACTCGGTGCGTCCTCCTGCTTCCTCCTCCTCTCTCGTCCACCTCTGTCTCGAGCGCGACCTGACGCTCTCGTCCTCGCAGGTGCATGAGCCTCTCTGTCCCCGTCGCGGCAAGTCCTCTACCGCTCCACGAGCTAGCGTGACGACGAGCGCGGCCGCACGAGCTGCGAGAACGCCTCGGGCGAGCGCAGCCTCGACATCTCGTCCTCGCAGGTGCATGAGCCTCTCTGTCCCCGTCGCGGCAAGTCCTCTACCGCTCCACGAGCTAGCGTGACGACGAGCGCGGCCGCACGAGCTGCGAGAACGCCTCGGGCGAGCGCAGCCTCGACATCTCGCTTTTGCTGGCGGGCAGATGGGGCCGCTCTGAGGGGGATGTCGCGCTCGGCGAACGCCTGGGCTCGAGTGCAGCAGAGGGCGGCGAGGCTATCCCGGACTCGGTGCGTCCTCCTCTCCCCGTCCTCCTCCCTCGTCCACCTCTCTCTCGAGCGCGACCTGATGCTCTCGTCCTCGCAGGTGCATGAGCCTCTTTGTCCTCGTCGCGAGAAACTCTCGACCGCTGCACGCGCTAGAGCAACGACGAGCGCGGCCGCATACGCTGCGAGAACGCCTCGAGCGGGCGAGCGCGGCTTCGACATCTCGCTCTTGCTGGTGGGCAGGCGGGGCCGCTCAGAGGGACCTCGCTCCCGGCTCAGGCCTGGGCTCGAGTGCAGCAGAGGGCGGCAAGGTTGCGCGGGACTCGGTGCGTCGTCCTCTTCCCGTCCTCCTCCCTCGTCCACCTCTCTCTCGAGCGCGACCTGATGCTCTCGTCCTCGCAGGTGCATGAGCCTCTTTGTCCTCGTCGCGAGAAACTCTCGACCGCTGCACGCGCTAGAGCAACGACGAGCGCGGCCGCATACGCTGCGAGAACGCCTCGAGCGGGCGAGCGCGGCTTCGACATCTCGCTCTTGCTGGTGGGCAGGCGGGGCCGCTCAGAGGGACCTCGCTCCCGGCTCAGGCCTGGGCTCGAGTGCAGCAGAGGGCGGCAAGGTTGCGCGGGACTCGGTGCGTCCTCCTCTTCCCGTCCTCCTCCTTCGTCCAGCTCATTCTCGAGCGCGACCTGACGCTCTCGTGCTCGCAGGTGCACCCTGTCCTCGTCGCGACGAATCCTCGACTGCTGCCCGAGCTCGAGCGACGACGAGCGCGGCCGCACGAGCTGCGAGAACGTGTCGAGGCCGTCCTGTCTCTCGCTCGCGGTCTCGCTCGAGCCGTTTCTCGGAGACCATGTCTTTGCTCGAGCTCTACCGACCCTCGACTGCTGCCGGCTCTCTGCGCTCTACTTGGTCGTCACCTTACTCGCCGCCTTCTTGCGCTTCTTCTCCTCGGCCTTCTGCTGCGGGCGCGTGACCTCGGTCCGAGTGAGCAACGTCGGACGACGAGAGGCGGGCAGAGGAGGAAGCAGGGACGCACCGTGCGGCGCTGCTCGCGCTCGACCTGGTGTTGCAGACGCATGCGCTTCTTCTCGGCGCGCGCCCGGTGCGCCTCGACGAGCTTGCGCTGGCTCTCGAAGCGCACCTGCGCAGCGCGAGCGTCCTCGGCGCAGCGCTCGAGCCACGTCGTCGCCTGCGTGAGGTCCGTCTCGGCGGCGAGCGCGGCTGCGCACGTGTCGACGAGCGAGCGGTGCAGGCTGGCGTGACGAGACGCAGCCGAGCGCCAGCCGCCCGACGACGACGAGCTCGACTCGCTGTCCGAGCCCGACTCGCTGTCCGAGCCTGACTCGGCGTCCGAGCCCGACTCGCTGTCTGAGCCCAGGTCCGAGTCCGACTCAGACTCGGTGCTCGGCTCAGAAACTGGCGACGCGTCGGACAGGTCGCCCTGCAGGTCCCGGAGAGTCAGTGCTGGCCGGCATGGCGGGACGAGTCCGGGACAGAGAGAAAGTGAACGCACGTCGTCAAGGAGCAAGGAGAGGCTCGACCGGGAACGCGCCCAGCTGCTTCTCGACGACCGAGAGAGGCTGCGGTGCGAGTGTGCGTCAGTACGGGTCCGATGAACGAGTGAGCGGTGACGATGATGCACCCTGGCGCGCGGACGCGTGCCGAATACCGAGTCCTGCAGGCCGTCCTGCAGCTCAATCGTCGCCTGCGCGCAGCAGAGAGTACGTCAGGACGGGCAGAGAGACGGAGAAAAGGGTGGGAGCGCGAACGGCTCACGAACAGCTTCATGCGCGACACGAGGTCCTGCGGCGCCGTTGACGTGGCGGTCGGCGTGCACGAGTGCGCGCCCTCAACCTTGACACACTGCCAGTGCCGGTTCTCGAGCTCTCGAAAGAGGACGTGAAAGGCGCACTGGCTCGGCTGGAGCACGCAAGCCAAGGCGAGGGTGCGCGTGGTCTCGCCGTGAGGCAGCGTTTTGCGGCCCACCTCGCTCACGAGGAAGCGGCCGTCCTGGCGAGCTGTGGCTCTGAGCGCGCCCTCGAGGCTGTCGAGCTCGTTCGCAGTCGTGAAGACGTCGCCGGCTTGCACCTTCTCGAGCTGCGGCGTCTGCTGGGCGCGATGGCGGGTCAGGATCATGTCTGGGTCGCGTCGTGGGCTCAGGCAGCGACGCACCTGAAAGCGTGACGCTGTTGGCTCGCTGTACTTCTCGACAGGCGCCTCGGTGACGGTCCATGCGCCGCCCAAGTCCTGCGTACCGCGCTGCACGGCGACGAGGGCGAGCTCGCGACGAGGCTGCTGGTCCCAGGTAGGCCGGCACCCGATCGTGATCTTGAGCGACTTGGACTGCGCTCCGCCCCAGGCCGGTACGATGTGCCCGTACCCGCGGCGCAGGGCGGAGAGCTGGGTCGCGAGGAGGAGGTCGGGCCAGTGCGCGTACGTCGCGCCGACGGGAGGCCACGCTTCGAGCTCGAGCGTCGGCATGCTCGAGCAGTCGCGTTCGATAGCGAGAGCGAGAGAGGCGAAAAGGAGGCGAGAGCGAGGGAGGGAGAAGCTCGGGGAAGAAGGGGCGCGTGCACGGACCGGAAGTCTCCGGTACGTTCGGCAGAGCGGCCCGAGACCACGCGCTTCGGCTGGCTCGAGCAATCCGCGGGAGAGCGCGTGAGAAGCAAGAGCGAGGTTCGAGCGTCCGAGGCCGACCCGACATGACGAGGTCCGGGAGCTGCGACGCAAGAGTGCGAGCGAGTCGACTGGCAACTGCAGTTCTTGCTCTCGCTCACCCAGGACCTCGTCGGGGGTATCTCATGAGGCGGTCCGAGGAGTCTCGAGGGGCAATAGCTCGAGAGGAAACTGCGAGTCGGATCGGTCCGGACGAGGATCTCGACTCGAGAGGTGAGCTGGCGTCGTGTGACGGTGCAAGCCTCGCTCAGTCTCTCACGAACGACGACTCGACAGCTCCTACGACGGCTCGGGGCGTGACCCCTCGAGAAAGCGAGGTTCGAGGTCAACTCGGCGGGACGAGGTCCGGGAGCAGCGACGAGAAGTGCGAGAGCGAGTCGACTGGCAACTGCAGTTCTTGCTCTCGCTCACCCAGGACCTCGTCGGGGGTATCTCATGAGGCGATCCGAGGAGTCTGAGGGCCCACAGCTCGGGAGGAAACCGCGAGTCGGGTTGGCTCAGTCGAGGTCTCCACATGGAAGGCGAGCTGGCACCGTGAGACGGTCCGAGCCTCTCTTGAGAGGTCGAGACGGTGCGACAGGTGACATTGCAGTGGACGACGATCGGAATGAAGAAGAGAGAGAGCTTGCGCGACTCGCGAGGAGGCGGCCGGTCGCGAGCAGGGACATCGAGCGAGGGCGTCCGGCTTGTCGCCTCCTCTGTCGCGCTGTACCTTGCCTCCGCACCGCACGTTCCGATCAGGCCCTCGACTTGACGTGATTGCTCTGCGCGCCACCGCGAGTGAACCGCTGCACCGTGGTCGGACGTGGCTCTAGCCGTCGAGGAAGGGACGGCCGTCTACTGAGCCGCCGGAGCCATCTCCCATGCGCCCCACCACTGCTCGAGCAAGCAGCAGAAGAGCAAGGACGCCAGCAGAGTGCGAGACGGAGAAGGGAAGCGAGGGAGGAGGCGACAGGCCCGAGCTGGCAAAGGGTGGCTGCAGACGGGGGCAGAAGAGCCGGGCCCGTGTAGCTGGCCGTGCCCTTGAGCCATCCCGCCGTCCAGCAGAGCATGCGAGCCTCGGTGAGCGAGAGGAGGAGGCGAACTGATGAGAACGAGCTCCTCTCCCCTCCTCGTCACACCACACCGCTCGCCCGGGCTTGGCCTGCTGCCGTCCGAGCATCCAGTCGTGTCTTACTACCCCGTCGACCTGTACTCGCGGCCCGTCTCGGCCACGTTGTCGCCCTCCGCCTCCTCCCCCGCCCTCGTATCCCCCTCGCTCGTGCGCCCCCACCCGCCCCCAGGGCAGCACCGCGACGCTCCGACTAGCCCCAGCACCACAGCGTCTATCGTCTCGCACCACCGTCGCCCTCTATCACGCCGCCTCGACCTCGACCTGGTCTCGGCACCTCGCGTACGTCGGCCTCTGCTCCCGAGCATGCCGCTCGCGGCCACTCGCAGTCGCACATCTGCTTCGTGTGCTCGTCATACCGCACCGCCGGGCTCGAGCGAGGGGTGCGACTGGCCGTGCGCTCTGGCGCCGACCGACTGCTCCCCCTCGACGAGCTCTCGTCGGCCGGTCCCTGTCGCAGCCACGGGCAGGGACGGGCTGCCGTGGCCCCGAGGGCCCACTCTCTGCGGGGAGAGTGTGGCAGCGGACCGAGGTGCGTACAGGAGAGGTGGCGGGCAACGAGGGGCGGGCGGCGCCTCGGACCTCGTCTCGTGCGTCCTGCTCCTTCCTCGTACCCCATCCCTCGAGCGAGCTCGCCTGACTCGTTGCCGCTCGTCCTGCAGGCTCGTTCCGCCTCATCCCTCCTCCTCGCACGCTGTCGCTGCTCGCCGGGTTCGCCAACTTGGCTTCCTCGTCCCCCCCTTCTCTCCCCGCCGGCTCGCCAGTCGTGCTGCCAACGAGCCGACGTGTCTCGACCAGTGTCCCGCCCAACTGCTCGGCCCGGCGTCGATCCATCGCGTCAGCTCGAGCGACCTCGACCTCGGTTCGCGCCTGTCAGCTCGCCCTTCCTCGACTCGACTTTGTCTTCCTCGACCTCGCCTCGCCTCTCGACGCCCTTACGCCTTCCTCGTCGGACGCATCGGTCTCGCCTGTCGCAAAAGGACCGACCTGTACGGCCCTGGATCGCTCGACGTAGCGAGTACATCCTCGTGCGTCCCGGCCCTCCCTCTTCTTCCCTTTCCTCGCCCTTCCATCCCGACCTGACCTCGCCTTTCCTCGGGCACCGCGCAGGTTCCCGACGCGTTGCGCCTTGTTCATCGCCTATGTCCGGCCTCGGCGTGCACCTCGCTCTCGACGTCGCACATGGTGCTCAACTCGCAGCATCCGAGATTCATGCCCAGCTTCCGCCACCTCGTGTCGCGGCGCCTCCTCGCCGTCTGACTCGACATCGATCTCGACTACTGGGACCGATACCCGTACCTCGCACGCCCTCGGGCGAGCAAGAGCAGTCGCACTCTGTACGCCCGACTCCTCCCTTCTCCTTCCTGTCACAGCGTGCGTCGCTCGAGCGAGTTTGCCCGACCTCGCCTCGCTTGCTCGCCCTGCAGGGTCGTCTCTCCTCGAGCCGACAATTCGCACTCGGTCCGCTGTCGTTGCCGCATGGCGAGGGCATGGCCGTTCCAGATTCAGAACTCGACCCGTCTTGTCGCCTGTTCAGCCGCCAAGTTCGACTTGCCGACACACCGCTGTCGACCGCCCGCCCTACCTCCTCGACTCTCGTCACTCGACCTTCTACAAGCCGCTGGCCTCACGAGTCGCGCCAGGCCGGCTTCGCCTTTCTCGAGCCGGTCTTGCTCCTCCCTCTCTCCTCAAAACTCGCCCTTTTCCCTCGCCCGCCTTCCTCGACACCCAGGCTCTCCTCGCTTCGCTCGACATGCGCCCGTCGCCGCCATGCCGACGAGCCTCGCCTCCCCGAATCGGCGCTCTTCGACTTGCTCCGCCTCGGCCCGAGCTCCGCAGCTCCCGCCGCGCCCTCTTCCTGTTCAGCAGCATCGTCGACGATGCTCACCCTCGCCGCATGCTGCCGCGACGAGCATGAGCCGCGAGGAACCGCTCCTGCCGCGTGCTCTTCGATCTGTCCTCGGCGCGCTCTCGAGCCGCGGCGTTGTCGCGCACCGATGCATCCCTGTCTGTCCATGCTCTCGGTCATACACGCTCGGTCTGCTCTACGGGCGTGCTCAACTCGTGGAGCCCCGAGGAGCAAGAGCTGGGGGCGAAACTGCAAGTCGGGTCGGTCCAGACGAGGATCTCGACTCGAGAGGCGAGCTGGCGTCGTGTGACGGTCCGAGCCTCGCCCAGTCCTTCTCAGACGACGGTTCGATAGCTCGTTCGACGGCTCGTGGCGTTACTCCTCTAGAAAGCGAGGTTCGAGGTCGACTCGCCGTGACGAGGTCCGGGAGCAGCGACGCGAGAGTGCGAGCGAGTCAACCGCTCTCGCTCTCGCGCGTCGACAGCACAAGGAACGACACGTCTGCGTTGCACGCACAGCTACAACAAGCGGCCCACGGCCTGCTTCTCTGCTCGCCGCCTGCGACAGAAAGCCCCTTCCGACGCTCGACCGGCTCAAGTCGTGCCCTCGTCGCTCTTGCTCCCCTCCTGCGCCGTCGACCGGCCCGCCTGTCCGCCCCTGACCGACGCCCTGAGCTGCCGCTCGAGCAAGGCGAGCCCGCCGTGCGGCCACGTGGCGACCAAGTCGCTCGCGTCGCCTTCGGTGAACCGCTTGCCGAGCGCCACGTACGCCCACCACGGCCCCTCGTCGCCGCCGTCGCCGTCAAAGACGTGCGTGCTGCTGCTCGTGTCGGCGCCGTCGTGCTGGGCCGAGCTGGCGACCATCTTGAGCACGCGCGAGCGGGTCGAGTCGGGCGCCGGCCGGTCGCGCCAGCGTGCGTCGCGCTTGAGCAGAGGGGCGAGGTCGACGAGGCGCGGATAGATGCTGACGACCGTGTCGGCGGCGAAGAGCGCGTGCAGGAACGAGTCGGGCATGGCGAGGAGCGTCGGCGTCTGGTCGAGGTCGAAGTCGGACTTGGGGGCCGAGGTGGTGTTGCCGAGGCTGTCGGGCGAGGCGCGACGCTCGTAGAAGGAAACGCAGAAGGCTGTGTGACGTGGGAAGAGGCTCCGCTCGAGGGCAGGATGGGAGGAGAGAAGAAATCGAGCGCGACGCACAGCCTTTGTCACGCACGATCTCGAGCCGGCCTCGGTCTTGAAGCGGGAGGATCCACGAGTGGCCACAGTCGACCCACGCGAACGGGCTCGCGAGCAAGACGGCCGGGTCCGTCGTCTGCCCATGCGCCTTGAGGACCTTGACCAAGTCCTCGGGCGACATGTGCTGGTACGACACGGACGAGAGGTCGACCTTGTTGCGGCGTGCGGGCTCGGGCGCACGCTGCCCGTGCGACATGGCGGGCGTGTTGGACGCACGAGTCGAACGGCCTGCGTAACAGAGACGACGTAGCGGGTCCAGAGAGAGAGGAGGAAGGAGAGAGAGAGAGGGGGCGCACCTTTGGTGACGGCGGCCGGATCGAGGCCGAGGAGGGTCGGCGTGCAGACGATGCCGAGGTTGGCGCAGTTCGAGACGACGTCGATGATGAGGCAGTCGAGCTTGCCCGTGTCGGGCGACAGGCGCAGGCCGCGGCCGATCATGTGGAGAAAAAGCGTCCGCGAGCGGGTCGGCCTCGCGACGACGACGCAGTCGATGGCGGGAAAGTCGGCTGCTCGAGCGCGCACGAGTCAGGCCCGTGGCTTGAGTTGCGCACCGGAACGAGAGAGAGAGAAAGAGGCGGCGCACCTCCCTCGGTCAAGATGCCGCAGTTGACGAGGACGGGGAACTTGCCCGCCCGGAACGAGCGGTACAGCGCCTCCCTCTGCGACGAGGGCGTGCCCGAGTGCACGATGCGCGCGTCGATGCCGCGGTCGCGGAACGCGGTCGACAGCGAGAGGACGTGGGCGACCGAGGCGGCAAAGACGAGGGTCGAGCGGCGACCTGCAGACGAGGGAGTGCGCCAAGGTCAGTGCGCGCTCGGGAGATGGGTGAGGAGGAAGGGAGGACCGAGGACGCACCTGCGGCGTTCTCGAGGTACGCCTTGACGACGAGCTCGTTGGTCGCGTCCGAGTTGAGCGCGAGCGAGAGGCTCGCCGGCTTGAAGTCGCCCGTCTTGTCCGACACGGCGACTTGCGACAGGTCGACGGCGCCGTCGAGGTGGACCGTCGTGAACGAGATGTCGGACAGCCTGCGAGAAGGGAGACCGGCCCCAAGTCGCCGTAAGTGCTCGTGCTCCAGAGCCTGAGGAGCTCGACCACGGCCTCTCGCGCTCGAGTGCGGCTCGAAAGAGGAGGGGAAAAGGGGACGCACCACTTGCCGCGCACCAAGTCGAGCCACTCGCAGTGCCACACGATCTTCTCGATGACCTTGCCGAGCGCGAGCTGGTCGGACCGCGCCCACGTCGCCGAGAAGGCGAAGAGCGGCACGCGAATGCGGCCGAGCGAGTCGAGCTTGGCGGTGACGGGCGCGAGAACGGGCAGCTGAGGGTCGGGCGAGGTTGAGGTCGGCGTGAGGCGCTCGCCGGCTGCGGCAGACGCAATGGCGCTCGGCGCAGCTGGCGTCACGGTCGTGCTGGGCGACTTGGACGTGAGGGCGTGCTCGACGTGCGAGTCGAAGCGGGCGAGGATGTCGAGGTACGACTTGGCGGCGGCGTGGTGCGCCTCGTCGATGATGACGGCCTTGAAGCGGTCCGTGACGAACTTTTCGAGGCGCTTGTACGACGAGTGGGCGAGCGTCTGTGCGGGTGCGTGAGAACGACCTGGTCAGGGGCAGGAAGAGGCGGGTTCGGCGAGGAAGGCGAGCTGGGACGCACCTGGTACGTACACACGGTGACGTCTGCGTAGCCCGAAGCCCGACTGCAGCCTTGCTCGACCTCGACAGACTGTGTGCGCCGAAGGATCGGGGTCAGCGCCGAGGCCCGACTCGCCTCGCTATGCCGCGCCGACTGCGCGAGAGAGGGAGAAAGCGCGCCCCGGCTCACCAAGTGCGGGTGAGCTCGCTGAATCGCGACGGCCGTCTGCTCGACGAGCTGGACCGAGCTGACGAGGACGAGGACCTGGGTCGCGACCTCGCGCGTGACCGGGTGGACGAGCGCCGGGAGGTGCGAGATGAGGGCGGTGAACATGGCCGTCTTGCCCGAGCCTGCGAGGATACGACAAAGGGTCAGCCTGTGCGTCTCGCGAGACTGGGAAAGGGCTGCCAAGAGAGAGAGTGGACGGACCGGTTGGCGCCGACACTCCGAGCCGGCTCGACTCGCCGCGCTGGACCTCGTCGAGGACGGCGCGCACGCAGTCGACCTAGTACGGCCTGAGCGTGATGCCGGCCTGCACGAGGGGCTTGCGCAGGGAAGAGGTACTGGTAGACGAGGAGGTCGAGGAGGGTGGGACGGCGGGCGGGCGCGACTGGGTGACGGCGGCGGGTTGCGGCGGCGGTGCAGGTGGCGCAGAGGGTGCGTCGAGGGCGGATGTAGGTGCTGCGGGTGCTGGCTGCTCTGCTGGGGGCGGTGGGACGACGGGGCGAGGTCGAGTGACCGCGGCGAGCGATGAGGTGAAGGACGCGGCGGCACGGCTCAGGCGGGCTAGCTGTGCCAGTAGCGAGGGCATGTCGACTGCTAGGGCCTCGCCGGTGCCCTGCGTGGTGCTCGAGTCGGTGTGGGCCGCGAGTTGTCGATGTTGGCCGACTCAGGAGTCGCGCTCGCGCTCGCGCTCTCTTTGCTCCCGCTCATGCTCCACACTCTCCCGCAACGCTCGGCGCGCGTACGGTCGTGTGCGCAGACGAGTCTCCTGTCCGCTTCTGCTCGATCAGGGCTGCTGCCCGACCGAGGGCGAGCCCTTTGTCCTCCTTCTTGCTCCCCCTCGCTCGACCTGCTCGCTCTCTGTCTTTCGCACACTCGACCATGTCCCGCCCGACGCCCTACAGCGGGCGAACTCGTGCAACGGGTCCGTCATCCCTTCCCGCCCAGCCCTGTTCATCACAGCTGACCCTCGACCCACGAGCAGCTCCTCGTCAAGGCTACGACCTCCCGGCCACTCTCGCCGCGCACTCAGCCTCCAGCTCCCTCGACACAGCTTCCTCCTCCCCGACCTGCCGAGGCTACGGCGACGAGTGGGCCGCCGACGGCAACGACCGCCTCTCGAGCCAGCACCTCGGCCTCGGTGCCCTCTCGTTCGGCGTCTTTGCGATCCGCGACAGGTTCTCGGGCTACATCGTCGCGCTCGAGTGTGTCCCCGACACGTGCGACGCGGACAGCCTCGCAGACGTCTTCCTCACCGCCGTCGAGTTGGAGCAAGGTGCGCCCCTCGTCCTGTTCCTCGGCCCTCTTTCTCCTCCTCGAGACCTCGAGCTGACGCCGTCTCGCCCTACAGGTGTTCCGTCGAGGCTCGTCATCGACAACGGGCCCGAGAACGACAAGATGCTCCAGGTGCAGGTCACGCTCCAGTACGTCTCGCCCTCGCCGCCGCCCTTTCGCCCCCCTCTTCCGCCCGTCGACTCGGAACTGACACTCGCCCTCAGCGACCGGTTCCGTCCGACGCAGACTGAAAGCTCGCCGCCGCCGTACGAGGTCAAGACGCCCAACGCGAGCCTGCTCAACCTGTGGTCCCAGTGGATGCGCAACGAGGGTCGCATGCTCCAGCACACGATCCAGGTCGACGCGGGCCCGGCTGGCTTTGACCCTGACGACGGCCTGCACCTGTGCGTCGTCGCAGTTCTCTTCTCTCCCGGTCCGGCCGCTGCGCCGGGCCAGCTCGTCGCACCCAACCTGACGCACCTCCCTTCCTCAGCGCGGCGGCCCTCTTTGTCTGGTCCCAGGTCATCCAGGCCCACCTCGACGCCGTTCGCCGCATCGCCAACATGATGCGCGTCCGCCGCCAGCCCAACAAGGTCGCCGGCCTCATCTCGGGCCACGTGCCCGACATGGCCCGCCGCGGGTGGCACGGCGGCGAGCGCTGCATCGTCCCCTGCAGCCTCGACGTTGTGCGCGGCCTGCGCAGCAGCGGCGTCGTCGGACCGACGCTCGGCTTTGTTGGGGCCGAGTTTGAGGTGGCGGCGCACTGGGCGCACGACGAGATGGGCCGCCCGGCGCTGCGGCGCGTCAACGCGTGGGACATCTGGGACGAGCTCTGCGAGAGGCTCTCGTAGCAATCTGTTCATGCATGCAGGGTCCTTTTCGAGCGATCGAGACAGAGTGTGTGAGAGAGCACGAAAGCCAGCGCCCACAGAGAGAGGTCTGAGCGCGTCCGTCTTCGCAAGTCGCGCACGCTCGGGCGAGGCTTGGCAGCTCCTCTGATGCCCAGGCAACTGGCTTTGCTTGCTTGGCCAGGCTCCAGCCGCGAACGGCAATGAGCGACAGGCTCTATCGCTACACAGTCGTGGTCGGACTCTTAAACCCTGTTGGCGCTAACTGTGTGTCAAGTCCTGGGGCGCCCCCAATCGAATCTTCGATAGTATAGTGGCTAGTATATTGCCTTGTCAACACGTTCATTCGTCTCAACACGGCAGAGACCCGGGTTCAATTCCCGGTCGAAGAGATCTCTTTTGCTCCTGCTCGCCTTCTCAGGCGTGTGAGCTCCCTTTTGCCCGGGCGGGGGGAGTCGCCGAATCGTCGCTCGCCGGGCAACCTCGAAAGTCCGCCTTCCTCTCCCGTCTGACTCCAAATCATCTATGTAGAGACAAACCGACAGCATCGTCACGTGCAGCATTGGTGGTTTAGTGGCAAAATTGGGCATTGCCAGCGTCTGTTGATTTGCCTAGCCCCGGGTTCGATTCCCGGCCAATGCAGTTCCTTTTTGCTCCGTTTGCCTGGTCGCTAGGGAAGAAGAGCGCATGGTCCTTTGGCCGCGTGGTGTGCGCAACGAGCGGACCGGGCGATATTGTGGCGGCACACGTCCAACCTAGCCTCAATCATTGGAAACAACAAAGGCCGGCCACTCTACGGCCTCGAGCGTCTCTCGGAACAAATAGTTGACTACGTATCTGGTGGCTAATTCTCTGACCTGCGATTTATGATTGGCCAGATGTCCGAGTGGTTAAGGAGACAGACTAGAATCGTCGCTTATCTGTTAGGCTCTGCCTGCGCAGGTTCAAGTCCTGCTCTGGTCGACTTAATCTTTTGCCGCTGCCGGCCAGACCTGCAGAAGGCATTGCCGCTCTCCTTTTTGCTGCTGCAAGGTCATAAAAGAGGGGAGGAGACCTTTGTAGCTTGACTGCGTCTGCACAGGTGGCCTGTTTGTGCCAAGTGGGCAACTGAATGACAGCTCAGAGCTTGATCAGATGCCCAAGCATGCTTGTTGGGCACTGAAAGCGGGCGCAAGACAAGGAGCCTGGCCTTTGAGCGGCCCAGTTCCTGTGAGTGAGCAGCCCTGCAACTCTACGGAACAAGAGCCCAGCTACAAAATGGCTCGCCGCAGACTTGACCCTGACCAGCCCATCCAGAGGTGACACGGGACCTAGCAAGGTCCGGAATAGAGCCATAGGGTTCCAGGGCTGTTTGCTTGTGGGAAAGGGCCTGGCAGTCTTGGCCCTTCCCAAAACTGGACCTTGTAAGTGACTGGCCCTGGAACTCTCCCGCCCTATCAATCCCCTTGTCAAGCACCTTTCACCAACTGGACAAGCCCTTGGCGGTAGATCTCAACGCAACCCAAATCCTGAGTCGGCCTAAGGCCTCGCGAATCCGAGGCCACCGTACCTGGAGCTTGTAATCAACCTGCCCTGAGTAGCCCTGTTCCTCATGGAGCTGTGCGCGCAGACGGGTTGGGTCCGAGGGGGGCCGAGAGGCTTGGTCCGGCTGATGATGCTACTGATGCACTCGCCCAAATCTGGCTCCATTACCATCAAGGTCTACTATCATATGGTCCCTGTGCCAAGCGGTAGGTTGGTAGCCCTGTTCCTCATGGAGCTGTGCGCGCAGACGGGTTGGGTCCGAGTGGGGCCGAGAGGCTTGGTCTGGCTGAGGATGCTACCAATGCACTGGCCCAAATCTGGCTCCATTACCATCAAGGTATACTATCATACGGTCCCTGTGCCAAGCGGTAGGTCAGTAGCCCTGTTCCTCATGGAGCTGTGCGTGCAGACAAGTTGGGTCCGAGTGGGGCCGAGAGGCTTGGTCTGGCTGAGGATGCTACCAATGCACTGGCCCAAATCTGGCTCCATTACCATCAAGGTATACTATCATATGGTCCCTGTGCCACGCGGTAGGTCAGTAGCCCTGTTCCTCATGGAGCTGTGCGCGCAGACAGGTTGGGTCCGAGGGGGGCCGGGTCCGAGTCTGGCTGAGGATGCTACCAATGCACTGGCCCAAATCTGGCTCCATTACCATCAAGGTATACTATCATATGGTCCCTGTGCCAAGCGGTAGGTCAGTAGCCCTGTTCCTCATGGAGCTGTGCGTGCAGACAAGTTGGGTCCGAGTGGGGCCGAGAGGCTTGGTCTGGCTGAGGATGCTACCAATGCACTGGCCCAAATCTGGCTCCATTACCATCAAGGTATACTATCATATGGTCCCTGTGCCAAGCGGTAGGTCAGTAGCCCTGTTCCTCATGGAGCTGTGCGCGCAGACAGGTTGGGTCCGAGGGGGGCCGGGTCCGAGTCTGGCCAAGAGGCTTGGTCTGGCTGAGGATGCTACTGAGGGACTGGGCCAAATCTGGCTCCATTACCATCACGGTATACTATCATACGGTCCCTGTGCCAAGCGGTAGGTCAGTAGCCCTGTTTCTCATGGAGCTGTGCGCGCAGACGGGTTGGGTCCGAGGGGGGCCGAGAGGCTTGGTCTGGCTGAGGATGCTACCAAGGCACTGGCCCATATCTGGCTCCATTACCATCAGGGTATAGTATCATATGGTCCCTGTGCCAAGCGGTAGGTCAGTA